CAGCGGAAACCACTTCAAACTTAATATCCTTTCCTCACACTGAACAAAAATTATTAAAAATGGTACCGTGCAAGTCCCAATTTCTGACACATTGAAAACATCTGACTACTAATGAGCCAGCCCTCAAAGTGTGCTACACCGCCATATTGCAAAAAAACTGAACTGCTTCATAATTAAAAAAGTATGAGATCCTGCAAGATCGTCAAAATGCAGAAAAACAAACATTTGATAAACTGCAAGACCACTTTAACACAACAAAACATCTGAAATGATGTAAGACAGCCCTATAATGTATCAAAACATCTGAAATTTTGCAAGATCGCCATAATGCAACAAAACATCTGAAATGCTGCAAGATCGCCATAATGCAACAAAACATCTGAAACGCAGCAAATCCCCACCAGTATCCCAAGACTTCAATAATGAAGCAAAAATTTTCAATGCCTCTAAAAATGCTACAAGATCACAATGGTGTAGCAATAGCACTAAACTGCTGTAATATCCTAAACAAAATAGGAAAGATATTTAAGCCCTGCAAGACTCCAACAAATGCTACATAACAAGAAACACTGTGCGAAAAAAGACTGTACCGCCAAAATGTTCAGAAACACGAACGGCCAAAGACTAAAAAAAATGCAGCCGCGGTAGTAAAAACGGAGCATAAATGCTTATTGGGAGCAAGAAGTTGTAAAAAATTGCATCTTGTACAAGATGAAACGCATGTTGTATGAGTTATTTATTTATCCTGTTTATATCAAGAAAGTTTAGCAAGTCTTGCACCCAGTTGTCTCATATAGCAGGTTCACAAGGAATTTAAAAGCAAAGAAAACGCCAAGAAAATTCACCATATCAATATTGAAAACGTTTCGGAGTCCAGCTCCATCATCAGTTCGACTAAACTAAAAATGAATAAAATCACTTTAAAAGTCAAAATTCAAAGACAGACATAAAACCTAAACAAGACCTAACATTATATCGAAATAAACAGGACTAGTTATGAACAACTTAGTCCTAGGGGTACGACAAGAATATAAAATCCTAGCGATTTACTATTTCCAGATTATATGAGCTAAACGCATTATTGAGACAACGTTTAACGATAATATCGATATGGTGAATTTTCTTGGCGTTTTCTTTGCTTTTAAATTCCTTGTGAACTTGCGATATAAGCAGACTGATGATATAAGTACTTATATAGCAGGTTAATAAATATTTTATTAAATGGTTGGCAGGGGCTCGCAAAAAAGGATCGCAATTTTATTCAACGACTAATTTTGCTGGCCAATATTTTTTCTCTAATTTTCAGCCTTAAATTACTTCAAGTAATAAATAAAAGCCATATTAATAAATTTACCTTATCAAAAATTCGATCGCGCACAAAAAAATACAAATTAATGTAATATTATTGGATCCAGCTAGCTAAATGTAGCAATTCTACGAAATTTCCTTGATGCAAAAGTCTCCTCGAAGTTATATCTTGCGACGTGAAGTGGATAAAAAAATATGTCCTCAGTTAGCCAATATGACCTATTAATTCTACTTACTATATATTTCAACAAGATTCATAATAAAACTTTAAAATTTTAATTCTTCAATTATTAAAGCAAGTTTCTCTCTAATCAAAGATTTCATGGTCTGGGTTCATGCTGCAAAGACTAGCGAAATGAATTTCAGGTATTGTTTAGCATCTTGCTTAATTCTTACGATCTTCAACCCGATGAAAGTCATTATTCGTCGAGATAAAATTTTTCGCAACAACAAATTTTAAGAAGTCCCTTGTCAACTTGAAAAACAAATTAAATCTTAATATATTATTCGTTCGATAGCGGTTCATGAATTGGATGTAATTTTGATGAAATTAGTTGAGGCTTCAATTATTGATATTTGAGAAATATGTGAAACTTTTATGTATTAACAAATTACAATAATTGTTCAAAAAAGCACCTCTGCTTTTGAAAATAAATTAAAGTCATACGCAGCCTGAAATTTCGCATGTATACATTTTAGCACAGACAATTTTTACCAACATGTAAAAAATTAGAACCATAATTAATTGCAGGAAAATCGACTTTAATTGCTTTGAAATTTCCCTGGTGACTTGTTTTCAGAGAAACGAAGCAATTCTACAATATGCATTAAGCCACGTGGAAAATTCAGCACCGTGTGTAAATATGCATTTCCTTTTAACGTATTTCATTTCAATCCGTCATTAAATGCCTATTTTGTCAAAAATATTTTAAAATAAATCCAATATCCATCCTGAAAGGAATAAAAATTGGTTTTGTGACTTTCCCTTAGATTGACTTTTCTTTTTATCCGAGTAAAATGTTCAAGTTGCTTTGGTGGAGGACAAGCGACTTCGCAGCAAACAATTGCTCATTCCGTAAGCGACGCTATCTCGGCCATAAAACAGCGAAAGATCCTCACTAAACGTTCAAATGACGAGCGTTTGTCGACAATCGTAGCCCCGGCGTCATCAGGCAAAATTGAAGGCCTTAGCCCTAGAAAAAAACTGACTACGTCATTGCATGCAAAAATAAACAGCGGGTCGAAATTGGGGGAAAATTGTGGAGCGTCACCGAAAGAGAATGGTCTAGTACGTAAAATTTCTGGTGGCGTTGACGTTGTGATGTTTCAAATAACCGAATGAAAAATCATAAATGAGGCAAGTATATTAATAATTTGGCGCAATTTCAAAATTTTGTCAGAAAATTTACGTTTTTGTAGAAGCAAGTGGGTATAATTCATGGGTAGAAATAAATTCTTTGAAAATAATTCACAAGAAACCTTAGGACAGAAAGGATTACAAATCCCTACTGAATGGAAGCCACAGAATCTTATGAAGAGCTAGGATTGCTAAGAAGATAAGGCAGACTCAAGAAAAAGAGAGATAACGACTTATCCTTCTCACTTCCTCACGGCACATTGCGCAAAAATCTTCCTTGGATCTTTATAAGTTTTCCAAAGGGTGTCTTTTGCCAAAAGATAAAGTCTATTAGCTCCCAACTTCGGGGATAGGATTAGTAATGTATGGCGGACCTCATACTGGAGGGAGCCGATACCAAAAGCCAATAAGAAGAGCCAGCTACTCAAATATTCCAGATCATTGAACAAACGAGGTAAAAGCTACCAGTCGTAGTAGAATTATTTTATTTTATTAAGACTAAAGATGGAGTAAAATTATGGCGCCCATGAAGGTATTACCTGAAAGATAAATTGTGTGCTGGAATAACGAGAAAAATCAAATAAGCATTTAATGGATTCATATGAATGAGAAAAATTGTATGAGAGAGAAATCACAGGAAGAGATAAAGATTTTTACGTGGTCAAGATTCCAAGTTGAAGTAGTTTGCTAAAGAATGTGTGTACAGCAGAACATTATGGACTTACTGATAAAGATAATGGAAATTGGAGCCAACTCTATACAATCCTAAAATAACATTCATAAAATTATCTCTAATGGACATTGACAACGTCAAATGAACAGAAATTCATGCAGACGAGAGATTTAGTAACGACAAAAAAATAAGTTTCTTGTCCTCTAAGGTTATGCTACTAAGTTGATAAGCTTAAATTAAATTAGGAACTATTTCACGTTTTGTCCATTAAATTCAATATGTTGTTATTATTTGGAAAGTATGTGGCATGTCTTAAACGGTCATATGTTGCAATTTATGAGAAATAAATATTTGACATTTCAGTAATATCATATTTCATATATGTATGATATTGATTAAAGATTTTAATTCAGTAAAAATTTCAATTTTCATAACTCATTTTCTTGTTGTAATGACATTTTAACAACGTCGAAATAAAATTGTTGTAAATGTCAAAATTATGTACACGTGCGATAAAGCTTTAAAACTTGAATGAATATCTCTGAAAAATACATCTAGTAGACCATCCTCGAAATAAGAAACAACACTGTTAATATGAAGGGGCATTAATTCAATCATAAAGCAGATGTGCTAAATGCCCATTCCGTCAATTGACTACAGAAATATGAAGTTTTATCTGAAGTTTTGCTTTCGTGGGCAGTAGCAAGAAATCGCGTAAAAAACAGAATTGGTTTGAGCAATTAGGTTTTTATATTATTAATAAAGTGTAGAATCAAAATTTCAATCATAAATTATAATTTAATATTTTTTATCACATTAAAGCATCCCTTCTTCCTTTTCTCTTGTGAATGAAAGCTCCTGCGAGAGTTCATTTAATATTGATTTGTAGTCATAGTTATACAATGATTACAGTATAGATTGATGAAAAATTAATTAAAATTAAATATCGTTGAGATCATTTTAAACATGTCACTTCTCGAAACACGAGATTTCAGTTCATGAACTTTATGCGGAGAAAGGTTCCCAAATAATTTTCCATAAACATGTACAAGGCGACAAAACTAATTTATCGACGAAGATTAAATAAATGGGAAAATTTTCTAATATACCCATTTAATCCAAATCAGTTTCTTTAAATTAAAATTGACATAAACTTTCAGGACAGATTTCTCCAGGCGCTGAATATGGGTGACACTTTGAAACCTGTCAGGCATAGATATATTCAAGTCATTCAGGTGTCAACAAAACAAAATATCAATTCGCTTACCAATTACGGAGGGGTATATCCAAGACTTGCGCGTGGGCGACACTTTAAGTCCACCCGGCATTGTTAAAGCCCTTCATCCGTACTCCACACAGTGCGGAATTGTAAACAAAATAAACTTCCAATTCACTTACCAATTACGGAGAGGTGTATCCAAGAGTTGCGACATGGGCGACACTTTAAGTCCACCCGGCGTTGGTAAAGCCCTTTATCCGTACTCCACACAGTGCGGAATAGTAAACAAAATAAACTTCCAATTCACTTACCAATTACGGAGAGGTGTATCCAAGAGTTGCGCGTGGGTGACACTTTGAAGTCCACCCGGCAGCGGTAGAGCCCTTCATCCGTACTCCAGACAGTGCGGAATTGTAAACAAAATAAACTTCCAATTCACTTACCAATTACGGAGAGGTGTATCCATGAGTTGCGCGTGGGTGACACTTTGAAGTCCACCCGGCAGCGGTACAGCCCTTCATCCGTACTCCAGACAGTGCGGAATTTCAAACCGGAGCGACCGCGGTGGAGGTCGAAAGTTGCTCGGTTGCGATGAGCCAGTAGAGGTAAATGTTTTGCTTGACTGCGCTTGCGGTCTCGCAGATCCACCCTTTGAATAGATAATAAAATAAATTTGAAGCACGAAGTATAAATCCATAAATTTAAAATTAGATAAATTTAACAACATTTTGTGATTATTGATTGAATTTAGTGTAGGTGGAGCGATAACACTTAAATCTAATCAGTGGGTGGTAAGTCCATCGTAAAAAGCCTCCAATGAGAAGTTTGGTTGAAAATTTATAAATATGTACAAAATATTTCAATCCTTAGGGATACGAAACGAATGGCATATTCGTAAAAAAAATTATGTCGCTGATGACGCGCTGATAAAAAAACGATCACTTGCTGAAATCTATTTTTAAATTTGATTCTACTGAGCTGAATTGTTGGAAAAAAATCATGGTAAAAGATCCTTTGGAGCAAAGAATATTTACGCTCTCCTCAGTATTTTGTCCAGCACCAGCAAAACATTCGAGGCATAAGCGTGAGGTTGTCTGAGGCATCTTATAAGCAACCTGATTGCAATCTCTCTCTCAAAAAAGCTCAAACGCGCCGATTGGTGCATTGAAACCAGACTGGAAAAAGTTATTACTTTCACGATTAAAACGCACATTTTCGATGGATAAACATCGAGAAAAACATAGTAGAAAAATCTGATACGATATATTTAACGACTGAGCTTGTCGAAAATAAGAGGCCCTTGTCTGATAAACGTTTGCGTCATGAAATTCCTCCAATTTTCTTTGGATGGATGCATGGCCGAAGCAATGGTCCACCTTTTTTATAAAAGTTAATTGTACAAATATAGAAATTGCCAAATTTTTAATTCACCTGCAAAAGTTGAAGTTCCTTTTTACACGACACGATATTATGAGGTGCAAATTAGAACAAACTTGGCTAATAAATTTTTAACGAATGCTCTCACGTTACTCTCGAAAAGCTTGCAGCAAACGAACACAGGACAACAAGTTACCAGTTCAAGCCGGCGTCCAAAAAAAGGCAGAGTGCCGTCCTGAATAAAACATGTCATCTCAAACTCCACATGCGAGGGGAAAGCTCCTTTTTGTTTCAGTAAAATTGCCCTTTAAACTGCCTGGACAGTCAGCAAGCTACTGCACCCTGGCCTTAACTTCTCTAAATTGCTTACCAGAGCCACGTTGTATAAAAGTTAGAACTGCGTACATGCTTCTTGATTGGTCCACTTTCGACCAATCACAGTCACGTGTGACAACGTCATGATAATTGAAAAATATTACAGGATGGGTGAAATATGTTGTTAACAACATTGAACAGGGATGCAGTAAAGTTTGAACTTGCTCAACAATATGCGACGAGATCGAAAATTGAAGGAATGCCATAGGTAAAGTAGAATTGCTTTGAAACTAATACAAACGGTTACAATGCAAACCGGATGATGATACAAGTTTAGGATAAGACGAATAAATGCTTGAAATTTTGCTTGAAAATTTTATCGTATGAAATTTTAAGCTTTTTCAAATATATCGATCAATTGTTCATCATAATTGATTTATCGCTGTAAACTAAATTTATGCAGCATTTTAAAAACTCTCGGAAACAATTTTCTTACATTCTTTTCTTTCTGAAATTTGGAAAAAATGTCGATTAAAACGACTTAATTATAAAACTTAAATTCCACCGTAACCTTGATTCATTGATCAAATAATCGGCACGAAAATTCAAGAAAGATATAATACTATACAATGGATTAATTGGGTAGTTTGTCCGGTACAGGACATTTCTTGGTATTAATTAAAGTTTTTCAGGAAAATAGACTGGAAAAAACATATTCACTAGTCAAATTTTACCCCTGGCCCTAATAAATATTTTAACCCCAAATCTCTTCAGAATCCTTCTCTATCTTCTTCGTACGTACCATGTGAAGAATCTTTTTTTTTTATAGGGAATGCATAGGCAAAAACTATTATATTTAAATAGTATGTGACTCCTATCTTATTCTATGATATAAAATACTGATGGGTATACTAAATTCTACGTTCAACGCCGATTGAGTCCAATTTTGATATTTATTATCAAAATGGGACTCAATCGCCGTTGAACGTTGAAATTCTTATGCTAAGTCACGAGTAATCGATGTGTACACGTCAATGAATAATCTCCATTCAATCTCTTTCCAATCTTAGTTTTGGACTCGACTACACATTCTCATTGATTCATTGGAGAGAACAAATGAATACAGTATGTAAATACTGAAGATGCCGGCACTTGATAAGATTTATTGAAGCTGTTCCGTAAATGCACTAGAATATTGATGGAACAATTCACGGACGGTTGGCAGAAGATCGGATTAAAGTCGCTCTATTCCTAGCGTGAACAATATGTATTGGCACGTTATAATTAAGATGGATACTTAGTTTGAATTACTGTACTGACAAGCTATAACTAATATGGCTTCGTATTGAGAACTGTTGTATTTTCACGCTATTATTAGATGGCTCCTTATTTTGAACTATTAATGTATTGACGACATTAAACTGTTATAGTTTCTTGTTTTAAACTAATGTATTGACCTGTTGCAATGAAAACGATTCTCACCGGCAAACTGAACGAATTAGCAGGAAGAAAAACAATAAATCCTTAATTATTGCAACCTAATTTAAATGATTTAAACCTAAAGATTCACTTTCGACCGAATGTCAAGGGGATTTGTCCAATTATCGTTGAATAATAATAGCCGAATCCGATAGAATTCATTCGTACTTTTTCAAATAAATTCTAAATGAAAAAAAGTCACGGCTTGGGATTTTCCTATGAGGAAAATATTTTTATAAAAATTTTGTCTTTTATTCGAAAAACCCAAATCAAATAATAAGTAAAATAAATTTTATTAAATTTACCTAATTTTTATGGTAAAATCAGTTTTTGAATTAAATTTCCATCTTTAAACCCCGTAAAGTTTTTCAACGACAGTAAGTCGTATTAGTTTTTATTAGTGGTTACTGTGAAAAACTTAGTTCTTCACAGTAGCTGTCAATCACGGAGATGAGCTCAAGTTTTCATTCAGTTATAGGCTCCGCTATATTAAAAATCTGTAATTTTTGATCACTGAGTGCATGATCCGTACCAAACGATGATCAGTTAGCGTGCGATAACTGGAGAAATCTGGAGATAAAATATTCTCATCAGAACCGAACGCACATATCGTGCTTAAGTTTATTGTCCTGGACCTATACTTTCAAAAAAAGTTAAGAGATCGTAAGTTCATCAGCCAATCATTGACGCCCTTTCAATCAAAATGCACCAACCATAGACAAGAAAATAGAGCGTAAGTACTTACGTTCACTAATTAGCGAGTTTTGAAAGTATGGCCCCAGGTCATGGTCGAATAGCCTGCACTCAGGCCATTTGATCGCATAGATTTTATTGTTTATTAATGGTTATCGCTATAAATTACTTGATTGCACTGTTAATCCAGTTATTAGCAACAATGTGTTGATTAAAAACCAGATTTGCCACTTTTCAAAACAGTCTTTCGTAAGAATTTTTCAAACATGGATTTGACTGATGCAGCGATAAATTTGTAGAAATTTTTGTTACGTTATAGTACCTCGTTAATAGATTTTCTTAATGTCTTTTCATTTTCGTTGCCTTTTCGCTTCTTTCCTACAAGTTTTATTTATTGAAGATGCGTCTTAAAAGTCGGGAGAACATATTACGCATATTACGGCATAAGTGAAAAAACTAGTTTTTTTCAATCATAATGTTAACGGACAAATTTTTGTTATTGCTTTTCTTCGACTGATAGTCAGACAATAAATGTCTCGTGATTTCAAGACAATGCCTCGTATGTTAAAATACAACTGGAAGAAAAATTCAATCACTTGAACAATCGTTAAAACAAAGAGGAAGAAATTCAGGGACACAAGAAACTTCTTGCGAACTTGGCACGCTTGAGGCGGGGCCATGCAAATGCGTGCAGTAATCAAAAAGTCTTTAGTCCAGGATAAATAGCCAGTGACGTTGATTAATATGCTTAGCTTGAGACAAAATAGCGAGCTTTTGCGTCTCCTGCTCGCGAAAAATGACCCCCGCTGTCGTTCTTATCTGATGGGGATTTCTCGCGTAAAATCTTTTGTGGGCAGAAAAAGTGAGGAGTACTTCCAAGGGGCGTTCGAAAATTTATGGGCCTATGGCTTGCTGAGGGAAATATGGCCCAGAGTTACGACGGAAGTGTGGGCACGATTTTCAACTGTGGTAGGATGAGTTTGAATACATTTCTCAAACGTTTGCGCCTTGAGCCAATAAAATTATCCTATTTTTAAAGGAGTATCCCTTCATGATTTACGATATCGAGCGGTGTTCATTTTAAACTTACTAGCGTTTGGACAATAAATTAACAATCGTGATACATGTATGCGAGGGAATGTAAATTGGTGGTGATATAGCCAAAAATATGACATATTCGAAATTTTATTTTAAATTTTACTCATCTTCAAATTCACTTTTACCGGTTCTAGAGAATGACCGAAGAGTAATGTTTAATGGCCGATAGAAAGAATGAATAATAGTTTTGTGTGGTGATCATACCAATGAGGCCGAGCAGCCCTGAACTCAACATAAATTGCAAAGAGAGGACATCTCGGGCAAAAATTCAAGTTAAATGATTATTTTCACGCGAATAAGTTGACAAAAAACATAAACAATTCGTTCGAATGATGTAATAAATATTTTATGAAGTTGAGTATGAATTCCGAAAGGGATTTCCATGAGCGTGTAGAAATTATATTTTGTTGAATCTGCGTTCAGAGTATACCTGCAAGGCGTTTAACGACAATACGACAATAAATAATAACGACAATAATGAATTTATTGTCGTTATATTGTATTGTATATTGTATTTATTTATTTATTGTATTGTATATATTGTTATTGTATTGTTTATTATTATTATATATATATATTATAATAATCGGAATAACGACAATAATGAATTCCATATCTTCAATTAACATATGTGAGGCTTTTAATCAATATTTCGCTGCTGCTGCGCTAGAGAAGCGTATTATCTCTTCCCATTTGTTTATGCAAATTACTCGTACTGCCGGTCTAAATAAACAACAACTGGTCCCTGATGGCACTTAGTTCTATAATGAATATAACGGGCAGCAACGGAAAATTTATAATCATTATTCATGTTATTTATTCCGCTGTGGTTTGCAGCGTATTAGCTGCAACCGAATACTTTTACCGCGGTGTATTATTCACAAAGCAGGTTAGGAAATACACCGTTCCTGGTGCCCAGCTGTATTATGTATAGTACAGGAAACAGTCGTAAGTTTACTGAGTTTACTGTAGCAAGTAAGCTACAGCCAAGCCCTGGTCGATGACGTAACTTGCGCAGGAAATATTGTCACGTTCAGAAAGTTTAGAAGGAGCACATATATAAGATGCGTAGAAAAGATTTTAAACAATGAGTTCAAATGTTAACCCTCTACCGCCGTATGTCACTCTCCGGGAACATACAATTATATGTAAACTGTTGAGTGTTTATGTAAACATTTTAAAGTTGTCGTACGTGGCGGTAACCATCAGCGAAAGTCATTTTGCGCTCACTAGAACTTTTTTTTTTGCAAAGTAGGCTTGTGACAATATTTCTCCGGTTACTCATGTTAGGAGGGAGAGGGTAAAATTATTTGCATTTCTGATGGCAAAGTGTCACGGTGAGGTTATGTTTTTGAGTGTTCATTAATAAAATCCACAAACAATTGTTTTGTGGTAAATTTATTAACAATTCATCAATTAATTGCTTTTAATTTGATATTTTATATATTTAATAGTAATAAATTCACCCATGAATCTGTCAAACTTAGAAATTATCAAGTTTAAGTCGAAATTGAACTTGAAATTTCTCTATGAAAAATATCGAAAGATCTTCTGGTCGCCGTGCGGATGTTAGTGCCCTAAAAGTAATTTTTATATGATGAAATAATTTAATTTTTAGTAAATTTTTACACTACTCGAATTATTGTCTTTCGTACTGCATGACTCAATAAAACGTGACAAAAAACAGGATCATCGAAAACAAGGAATGATTTAGACAACTCTTTAATTTATTTTGCGCGGTGACACAGCACATACAGTAAATAAAGAAAGCAATCTTGGTCTGAAACTTCAATAAATCCGATCTCAAGGACAGTATTTACTGGATTACTTATTGGATTACTTCAATATATCCAATCCAATCCGCATGCGGATTCAGGCCTTTGCAATCCGCATGCGGATTGCAAAGGCCTGCAATCCGCATCTTGATCTCAGTCATGTGCTGCTGCTTCGCACCATTTACTGCGGAGCCTTCACCTTCTTGCAGGCCATCGATCAGAGAGCCCATAGATCTTTCGGTCACTGCCCCTTAATAAATCACTTCATAGAAATCGTCTGGCATGATCCCTTCGTTCAAATCAGAAGCAATTCAATCATGAGATTCATGTCGTGCAATGGAGTAGTGGATACTGATGGCGATATTTGTATCAAATGTCAAGTAAATTTGAAAATGTTTTTTTTGGAAAATTAATTTTGTTGGTTTTAGTGAATTTTTGCATTAATTATTCTTCGCCAAAGAAATGAAAAAAACACGCTACAATTCAACTATTTATTTTTTAAGCCCCAGAAAGAAATTGACGAATTCATTCCGATATGTCTCATTCAATCGCGAAAAATAAATTGTCAGTATCTTCAGTATTGCTATGTTTACATTAATAAATTAATGGTATAACATGGCATTACATATATATTCTTACATATAATAAAATTATACAAAAATACATAAAAATCATTTTATCATCATTGTATTTTCGCCAATTTGAAAAAGAGCATTTACAGTTATCCTAACAATTCTAAAACATTAGGAATCTCGAATTCGAGACTAAATCCATCCACTAGGATCCAACTGAGCGACGCGCTCTGATCCATCTCTTTCCATGTTACCCAGACTACATATCTCAATAGATCAAAGTGGATTACACCAAATCCAGCTGGAAATAAATCAGTCTGAAAAGTCTCAGATCAGGGCGGCAAGTGCCGCATCAAAGATCCGTTTTAACGCGCCCGACGGAAAACGGCTTCTCAAAAAGACCTAAATTTTAGCACCCCTTTGTGCATTAGACAATAAACTGGATCTTGTTTGCCTGGAGGCGAGCCCGAAACGCCATAGGAAGAGAACCTTCCGATGTACATTTAGAGCGCGACACAGGCAGGCATATACAAGGGATTTTTTTTGTGTCTTCGTAGAAATAACGTAGAAAATCTTAATTATAATATGGAAACAATCGCGTGTGTGATTTGTAATGAAACGTGTATGTGATCGGTACCATGAAAATAATTGACACCTACTTAAGTCAATGATAAGAGACAACGATCTATTTTTATTTATAATAATTTAGCACTGTATTGATCGGAATCAATTTGAGCGGAAATAATTAGTAATTGTTTGAGAACAAAGCTATTCTGAGCATGCCAGGTCAGAGACTTTATAATTGTAATGTTCTGCAAAAAATATCGGAAAACGCTCATTAGTAACGATTTTACAGTCTTTATTGGTAACAGGTTTGAAAAAAAAAACATTGATAGAAAATTCGGGCATTTGAATCTCCTGATAAGAACATGGCTTGCCATCTTCAAGCTTATAAATTAAAGATGGAATTATTCTCGTTAAACATGTGGCTTAGATATATGAGGGTACAATTTAATTCATAAGTAGGAGTTCCATTCATTCTTAATTGTAGAAACTTGTTAAACTCACTTTTAAATAGTAGTATCAGAGTCGTTCACACTATTTTATTAAAGAGAACTAATATGTAAATGGGAGTGTCTGAGTTGTTCACGTATATAATGTTAATTAAGAGAACTCACGTGTAAATAGGAGTGTCTGAGTTGTTAACGTATAATGTTAATTAAGAGAACACACGTGGAAATGGGAATGTCTGAGTTGTTAACGTATAATGTTAATTAAGGGAATACACGTGGAAATAGGAGTGTCTTAGTCGTTCACGTATAACATGTTAATTAAGAGAATACACGTGGAAATAGAAGTGTGTGTCGTTCACGTATAATGTTAATTAAGAGAACTCACGTGTAAATGGGAGTGTCTGAGTCGTTCATGTATAATGTTAAGTAGAAGAACTCACGTGTAAGGAGAGTCGTTCACGTATAAAATGTTAAGTAGGATAACTCACGTGTAAATAGAAGTGCCACGTATGATAACTCACGTGTAAATAGGAGTGCCAGAGTCGTTCCTGTAGAACATGATGAGCACAGGCTTGTCGTCATCATAGTTTGTGGTGACGTTACAAGGAAGCGTCACTTCGCTCTCCATCACCGCAGTCACGTTAGAAACTGGACCTGAGAGGAAAAAAGGATAATTTTGGACATTACTTTTATTGTAGTTTTATTTAGCAGTATCAATAAATTTAAAAAAATTCAATTTATTTTTAATTATTTAATTTTAATTATTAATTTAATTTAATAATTAATTTAATTCTAAAAAAATTTAAATTTCTGGGCCCGTAAAAAGAAATTAAAAGTGTAGTCACTCCGCATGTCGTTTTATACTACCGTATCAATAAATTTAACGTGGAGTGAGATAAATATAAACAAAAATATCTGCCATGTCATACGTCGATTTATCGTCGTTTTATCTCACAGTATTATTCCATTAATGTAGCACATGATGAGTGCAGTTGAGATTTTACAAGTGCTTCTTCGTCTGTCCATGCTCGAAGACTCTAATGTTTATTTATTTTTTGCCAATTTCTGTGCCCATTTTCATCTGTTTGCCGTATAGTGCGATATCATGTCGATTTTATGGCACTCCCTAAAAATCGACAATATACAAATTAATTAATTAACTAATTAACATATTTTGACATTCTATTAGTATTGATTTATTTTCTTAACGAATTGCCGCTTTTTACATTTTTATTCGTATTAATACATGTGCGATTATTGTCCATAGAAAAAAAAAATCAGTATTAATAGAATGTGATTAAAATTCATGAGATTATAATTCAAGTTTTTATGCAATTATCATTAATACCAATTCTATAGATATGTTCTCAACGTTCCGTGATTAACCGAGCAACTGTTATAGCATTCATATCACCAGCCGTCACAGCAACTGAAGGTCTGCTTTACGGTCTAATACCAGCAGTCTAATACCAGCGGTCTAATACCAGCGGTCTACTACCAGCGGTCTAATCCCAGCGGTCTAATCCCAGCGGTCTAATACCAGCGGTTTAATACCAGCGGTCTAATACCAGCAGTCTAATACCAGCGGTCTAATACCAGCGGTCTAATACCAGCGGTCTAATACCAGCGGTCTAATACCTGCGGTCTAATACCAGCGGTCTAATACCAGCAGTCTACTACCAGCGGTCTAATACCAGCGGTGTACTTCCAGCGGTCTAATACTAGCGGTGTACTACCAGCGGTCTAATACCAGCGGTCTAATACCAGCGGCCCAATACCAGCGGTCTAATACCAGCGGTCTACTACCATCGGTCTAATACCAGCGGGCCGGTCCGTTAGCCAGTGCTAAGGAAATGTTCGCTTGATATGAGACTGTCACACACAATCCAATATTCTAGGACACAATTCATGCATTGTTACACACAATGACACACCGCAGCTCAATTTAAAATGAATACACACAAATAATTGTGTGTTGAGACACACGAGTCGAAATTGCCACATGACCACAAAATCCCATATTCTAGAACACAGTACATTTTCATGCCAGGGAATAAAAACGTATATTACAAAAAACACAAAAAAATGATTTACGGTGATGAAATATGAATAAATGTATGCTTGTTGGCAAGATATCGAACCTTGCATTAAACTAAATAAATACACAAATATTAAATAAAGGAATTAATTGTTAGACATTGCATCGCGTCCCGTGCAGAAGCATGTGCATTATTCGGATTCAAATTTATTTTTCTTTTTACTTTGATAATTTTTCACTCATGTCAGGTTCCAGATTATCAATAATGCCACTTTCACAAAATGATAGATATATCATCTATAATTTTAAACTAAGGCTGGAACTACCGAGAGTATTTATAGTCCCGTTGCTCATGAACTTTTCAGCGAAAACAAGATAAATGTACAAAAAGAATAAATAAATAAATTTAATATATTATTGACATGCTATGGGTCATAGTCACACGTCCGTGCATCACGAAACGGTTCCTCTAAATGCTAATGTCGTCCCGCATCTCTATAGAACGCAACTCTGGTGTCCATCTAGCTCCAGCACGACGATCGAAGCTCGCTCGTCTCACTTCGACGCAAGCCCGGAGAAAAATAAATATAACTCAGTACTCATTGCAGTGAGTGGCAGAGAGCGCATTTTCTCGTCGACGAAAACTTGAGGTCACGGACAGACGGACGGACAGACAGACAGACGGACATGGCGAGCACAATAGTGCATTTTTTCCATAAATGACAAAATGCGCTAAAAACGGAGAAATGCTGTGATTATGAAAATTATCGATATTAATAAGGATTATTGACTGGTTATAAATTAGCCACTCAAGCAAGGCAAAAGAAAGTTAAGGGAAAGGAACTAAGGTGAAATTAGGAATATGTTTTTTTAATAGTTTCATATTGGTCACTTAGGTATGCAAGCTAGTTGAATTAGATTAAAGTCGGGAGAGAAATAGAGAGAAATTAATAAAATGGTACGACGGGGATATTGAACAATATTAGTATGGTTTTGTCATTTATGCATTAGTCATTTAGGCAAGTTAGTCGATTCGACTCGGGTCAGGAGGAAAATAAGGTATGATTGGTCCAAAATTACCAATATTAATAAAATGTTTCTTAAAAAGGTTTTATATTACACAGCGAGTCCAACTGACTCACTCAAGTCTGTTGGACTCGATTTGATTCGAAAGAAAAATAAGCCAAAATTACGCATATGAAAAGAAAAAAATATTAGTGATTGCGGTTATAGTTATATACCTGTAATTTTTAAGGCTGTTTCAGATTTAAGGGATTGCAGTACTAAAAATTTAGCATTTATATAATTTTCGACACATTTTAAAAAAATGCGTTGTACGATGCCAGTTGACTTTATGTGTGTCAGACGAATCAGAACTAAATATATGAATAATTATACTTAGGTATATGAGTCCATGTAGGATATACCTAAGTTCATTGAAAAACATTAGTTGGCAGGGGAATAAAATTTAAACATTATTAATATATGATCTGGTCAATTTGAGTTTTCGCATCCAATTATTCTCAATTTAAGGTTCACGTTTCCTTAAATAGTTTCCCTTTACTCTTATCAAATATGTACAGTTAAGTTTATCCTAACAATCTTCTAAAATTAAGCAAGTCTAAATAAAACAGTATTTCCTACTCGAATATATATTTTAAACTGATGAGATGCCAGTTTACATCAACTTTGCCTCACAGGGTTTAAAGGCAACGTATATAACGAGTCCAATAAGCCACCATCAGGGCATAGCCTCGGGCACTATATATTGGAAGCTCAACTCTCATTAATTTTGCATAAACGCATCGTGATGACAAATAACTTCGATAATGTTTTTGCATAGCGAATCAAGCCAGAACTTGCGCACGATTTTTTTTTGTGACAACTCGTCTCAATAAAATATTTATTATTTAATTAATAGGAAGCAGTAGTGTAAACTGTAAAGCACCTCTGCACATTCTTCTGGAATTTTATTAACAATCAAGAGAAGTATAAAAGCATGAGAGGCGAAAATTTTTGTAAACTCATCCATTTACAAAAACCTTATAAAACTTTTCTTGTTGAGAAACACAGGTAAGTTTTCTTAAGCCGGCAGGTGGCAGATTGTAAGGTAACCCCTGTACTCAAAAAATGAAGTACTTGGTAAATATATAAGCAGATAGCAAATTCTAGGTTGCCTATACAGCACATTCATTATTTAGGATACCTATATTAAACAGACCTGCTGGTAGCGAAGTGTAGTCTGCCTTCAACTAGCTCTTTATTTAGGATATAGTAAGTAGACTACCTTAAGGATTCCTACGGCAGGCCAATAATTTGTGATACAATAGCAGAAAAAATTAAACACAAATGAAAGAGCAGACCATAATGGTAAACAATCACATGAGAATTTGTGGTTTTGTTAGAATGACCTGAAAATCACTTGTTCAAAGCCATTTCATTTCATTGTAATTAATTAAATATTTTTTGATGAATCGTCAATTTAAATACAAGGTATAAATAATTCACACTTATATTATAAACAAAAGAAACTCAAGTGTACGTCTCTAGTAAAGAATTATTTAATTTTGCTTTCGGCATCATAAGCTTGAATTGAACTTTTATAATCACTTGAATAAATTTTATGAAAAAGGAAAGTAAAATCAAAAGCACATTATTTACCGACTCGCATAAAAAAATTAAAACTAATCACCTTGTACATTGTTACATCGAATTCAGCCGTTGCATCCGATTCTCCCCACCTCTCTTTACGTTTTAAATCGTGTTACCGATATTATTGTTAGTTTAGATTTTCAACGGCTGGAAGAGTTCAAAGTCAATATTGCAACATTAAAATTTAAAAATAAATTATGATAGAATGATAATTTTTACTTTGCATCATGTCCTCCTTTCACCTTTGCATTAGAATATTTTCACAATTTCCACCAATCATATACATATAATATAGAGAATATAAATCTATTCTTTGAATGACGTAGAAATTTTTCAACTCTAATATCGTTAGACTTATGCGCGTTCCATTCGCCATGTTCCCGAAAGACCCTCCTCCATAACCCCTTCCATCAAACATGCAATAGAACATTTGCAGAGCCTTTCTATTAAGAGGGCTTGGAAATAAGATATATCACATTTAATGGCACGCACATTACTTGTCTGTCTACAGTCGCGCATTTACTAAAGCCATCTTTACCCTGAACCCGGAGCGGAGCCCTCGCAATGCACGACATTATGCAAATTCTATGAAACCCCAGAACGGCGGTGTGGTTTTGCGGAGGTCCGTAGAGATATTAGGTTGTAGATTGCATTGAGAATTAAATTATTATTTTATGCTGGCGAAATAAGGATTACTGAAAGTTGATATTAAAGTACTTTCAGCAGTCAAAGCAAATTTAATATATCTTCGATCGGAACTCGGTAAGTTCATTATGATAAATAGAAGAGACTGATTCCAGCAAATCTTTATTTTAATTGATATACAAAAGGCTTCATCTAGGAGTGCAAAATTTTGATTTTCCTAATAAAATCTATTAATTTTGGCGTTACTCTATTATAACAGGTAAACGGAAACCAATATTTTGAAACTTCAGTGA